CGGCAAAGCTTACCAATCCTACACTCCTTTCTTCTATGTCTGGTGGAGCTATTCCCAGACAGCCTGAGAGCTGAGTGAGGACCTTATTTGACATGCTTTTTTCCTTCCAAAGCGAAATAATCACTCCTGTAGCTTATTGCGCTCGATCTACATCCTACCTAACTCGATTAAGCTTTTCTTCTTACACACAGAAGGTTTTTGCTCTCGTATTGCGGGTTTTCCACTTCGTTCAGTTACATTAGGGCTTTATACAACTCTACCTTGGTGATTAAGTTCCGCTTTAGTTGGTGTGAAATGAGCGGATTCTGGGATAGGAGGTCTTGTCGGTATGGAACCTACCCTTCCGGAGTGAAGGATTGTCATCCTATAGCCGAGTGTTTTTAATTTGGTTTAGAGTCGAGTGATGAAGCTCATGATTCTGCCGTTAGTGAGAAGCAAGTAAACTCTATAGCCCTAAACTAAAGGAGCAGGTCAAGTTCGTTCAGCTTGAGGGATAAATTACGTGGCTGACCTGCCAGTCCATCAAATATCGTAGTTTATCCTTAAGAGCAGGAGGTTCCTTGTGTGAAACTTAGATGTTGAAGCACGCACCTCAATCACCCTGCCTGTGTGAATTGAACGAACTTCAAAGTACAACCAGCTTAAGCTGGTTTTCCACCGATTTTTTAGTGTTCGGCCATTTCTAGCAAAGTCTAAAGGACATATTCGTTGCCGATTTTGGGTTCTGATGGAAGATACTGCTGAGGTTATACACCAAGTACACACGTGATTCTGCTCTGGCAGAAGTGCACGCGCAATTCAGCTCTGGAAAAACTCCCTGAGGTCCAGAGAGAGATGAAGTTTATAGTCAACCTCTGCCTCTCAGATAGCTTTCTTTTCCAACACTTCTATGTGGAGATAGATGTAATATTAATATGATTGATAGTTTCAGTTTACTATTTGAAGTTTTCCAAAGTCTCAAATTGGTTCCGGCCTTGTTTCGTAGTGAATTTATGGATTTGAATACTTCTAACACTGAATTTTTTTTTGTAAATTCAACTTGACTTGTACCTGGAACAGAGAAAAAGGGTATCCAATTGAAATCCAGGCACTTTTTTCTATTTTTCGCTTAGATGTGCTCGGCAGATGCTAAAGCCAGAGCGTGATGGCAAGAATTGATCGAGCGAAGAATCACAGTTCTCAGCTATCACATTCAGAAAGACTACTGGCCTAATTTCACTCAATTAAATAAACTATACCCTTACAAAACTTATTAGTACTCCTACACAGTTGTTCAATTTTAATGTCATTCTCAACTCTATCCCTGACTGGGTCTTTGATTTCAGGCCCTTTTGAGGAGGGTATCTTTTTGGTTAATATCAGCCCGGCTCGCATGGACTTCCGGTCTTTCTTAGTTGACAACTTTTTTATTGCAATTTGAAGTTCTCTAGTTACTCCTGCACAAGCAACAGCAGTTATGGATTTGATTGAGGGGCGCTGGGAAGAATGGATCGGGGAGATGCCCTTGAAGATCACTTACCCAGCTCTGGAAGGACATGAGTGGAGAATTGTCACCGGATTTGATCCAAAAAACACAGGGCGGAGTTACCTTATTGGTGAGTCTTGGCCGGGTTAGTGTTTAAGGAAGAAAACCTTATTGTAGGTTATTTTTTATTTAAATAGTGCCAAATTCCAAAATAAAAGGAAAGGGATGCTTGTACGCACATTAGATTTGCTAACTCAATTGATCCTACTGTATCTAGATCAGGGTTCCCGTTTAAGAAAGCTTGTTAGCTTTGTATTGGCTCCCATCTTACTTAACGGGGCCCTTAGTTGAATACCGATCAAAATTGTTTGCAATTTTGAGACTTTTCCAATAAAGAATTATTCGTTATGTTAAATACCCCGAAAAGCTGAAACCTCTTATTCCGGTCCTTAGAAAAACTACAACTAGTCAGGAATTGCGTAAGAGAAGAGACGTCGTAAGTAACAATAGCGCAAAAGCAGGCGGCGGAGATCCGCAAAGGTAACCGGATGCTTGGGGCTTAGGACAAGGAGCGTCCGGAGTCTCTTAAGAAAGGACAAAGAGAAATTTATATCATGTTTACACCGATCGGATTTCAAAAAGTCCTTCGCCCCTTATCTTCTCGTCTATCTTCTTTATCTTCTGATCGGATCGCCTGCCTTCTTTCAAGCCCTACTTGAAAGGCTTGCTTTCTTAAAAAAAGCTTTCTTTATTAAGAGTCCTTTAAGAAGCTAAGCTCCTTCAGATAGTAAGATTCGCTTAACTTCATACCTCTAAGCGCTCGTGACTATCCGATGATAGTCACTTCGCTTTCCTTTTAGACTGAAAAAGGAAAACGGAAAGATTGAGCATAAAAAAAATATAGAGAATGAGCTATTACGTGCAAACAATGGAAATTCAATAATAAGAGTCTGATCTTCTCGCTTAAGAATATGCGATTCCTCCGGAGTGAAGTTGTTGGGGGGAAGAGAAGATGAGGAAGCTAGTTTAATTGAGGAAGCCACTTTCTTTAATGTATACTAGCTGGTCTACAAAAGCATGACGCATGACGCTTCTCCTTTTTTTAGTCCACTCTCCCTTAGAAAACGGAGCTGCTTGAAAGCAGATTTAGAAATTACATAGGTGAATGTAGAGATCACCGGTGTCCTACTCGAGACGAAGTACTTGTCGTCCCCAAACCAAAAGGGATGAGGGAAAAAGGCTCGAGAAAGCGTCCTTGGAAGGGGGAATATCTGAAAAAGTGTTAGCGGGGAGCCCATCCCTCTCGTTCTTACAGAAGACATAAGGGGGAATACACGACGGACGGAAAGCGGGGAAACATCCTTTTTCTGTCTTCTCTCCACAGAGGAAGGAAAGCACCGCCAAGCCAACAAGAAAGCAGAAACTGCATGAGGTAAGACTAAGGGCCTTGCCTTGTGCGCCCTGCAAGAGATTACCGGGGGTCTCGGTACCAGGGGGGCGCGGGAACAAGAAACTCCAGTAAATAAAAGAAAGACAATAGGAGTCCTCTCAATAGCCGAGGGCCCACTTCCCTATATGCGCTTACGGAAGGGGAAAAGCTTGATTCTCATAGATTAGACAATACACATGTGCAAACAAGAAAATCAAACTATCTTATTATTGATACTATATATTTATCCTTTCCCCTATAGATCCACCTTTCTTCAAAATAAAGATATAGCAACTAAAAGAAAGCTAAATCGAATCGGAATAGGATAAAGAACGCACGAAGGATCAGAGAGAAAGGGGATTCTAAAAGCTAAAAGCCTAGAAAACTAGATTGTCAGACTCGGAGGTAGCAGTAAGATCTCTGTCTCCAGAGAAGGCATGAGGGTTTTCTAAAAGTCTCCTCTCATTACTTATGGATAAAGCTCTTAAGCTTAAGCTTTTACGAACTGAAAGATCTTCCCATTCTAAATAAGAATGAGAGTCTTTCAACTAGATGTGCTCCTTTGGCTGGGTTTGAGAGAGAGAGCGTGAGATAGTTGGTCTAATAACTAGTCCAACTTCCTTGTATCTGAAAGCGATGACAGGATGTTAGGTCTAGTAAGGAGACTTTTTGGATAATTTACTTCCACGAATAGACTGTTAGGCTAAGAAGAATAGGTTGGGATTGATCCCACCTTTGAAAGAGTGGTTTTGCTCTGTCAATACAGCTTATCGAGTTATCAAGCTGAACTGCCTTCTGTAAGGAGCTTGAATCGTTCGTTTACTCTAAGTCTTATTACCGACGCGATGGATTGCTATTTGAAAACACTTTCAATACAAAAAGAGCTCCTTCCGGCTATACTCTAGTTGGACAGTCTTAGTTCAGTTTGAGAAGTCAAGGAGGCACGAAGAGCTAACAAAGAGTCTTTCTATTTGACTGTCCGAAATCAAGTGGGAGATTCAATTGAAAAGGCCCCTTACTATAGATAGGGTGTTAGCGCTGTTTTTTGAAATAAGGACGTTTAGGTTTGACTAATAAGATAGAAAGGGGCAAGCCAAAACCCACTCTGCTGAGTTCGGCTTTCGGGGCTACCTACTTTAGGGCTTATGTAATATATAAAGAAGAACCCTTTTAGGGCCTTTTTGTTTAAGGGCTGCTCGCCTTTTGAATAGAAGGAAGTGGGAGAGCAGAGGTTATTTCGGTAAACCGATGCATGAGCTGAGGCTCCCATGCCCCGCCGACCCTCCGAAAAAGTAAGGGCTCATAGGGAGTCAGAAGCAAGCAGAGTAAAAGGCGGGTAAAACTCACATAAGCAGAGGGGGAGACACATTCATGAAAAGCGAGAAGCCCTGCCGTGGGGGACTGACCAACTATGAATAGATCTTACTTATGCTTGCGGGTAAGAACATATATTAGTCCGTATCGTGGGTCTATTTGTTACAAAAGGCGAACATCCCCTTTCCAAAACATTAACATAGGTCCTCAGGCAGACATCGAAAAGGGGGCGAAAAGAGTCTATTTACCTTTACAATATTTCGGAATGTATCATGGCTCTATCTATTCATTAAAAAAAGAAAAAAGAGTTCTGCATCTCGGGTGAACAAATAGGCGTGGGGAAGAGTGAGAGGGGGGGGCTACGAGCCCTCTCTCGTTGTTGTTCCCGGACCACCCATCCCTTCCTTCCCCTTCGCCCGGCCCGGTGAGATCAGATTTCTAGAACGAAGTGAAGTGATAGGAAGAGAAGACTGCTGGCGGGAAATCCCTATTCATGAAAGCCCCTTGTTAAGGTTAGGGGGAAAACGAAAGTGCGCTCCTGCGCACCAGCTGAAGAAAGGAGCTTTGGAAGCTTACCTTATTATTATATTAAAAGGGGAAAGGGTTCCAAACCTATCTGACTAATAAGAAGAAAGGGGCGTTCAGCCACTTGACTGTAAGGAGGGGGGCAAGCCAAAACCTACTCCTAAGAAGTTGCTGGATCGAAGTAGTACATTATACATCTGCCCGCCAGCAGCAGAGGCGGAGACAGAGTTGCCCCTTATACGCGATGTGGCGAAAAAGACTGATTCAACGAGATATGCCTTGCCTGCATTAAGATTTAAAACTTGTCGTCTACTTTCAGGAAATGTTTGGAACAGAGAACTTACAATAATACAACGCCGTATTCTCGGAAGATTGAGGAACAAGAAGAGATCTATTAAGAGAAAGATTTATTCTAGAGAAAATCTTAACAGTTACATCCAATCACAAACTACACGAAAGTTGTCCCTTTTTTATGGAGATTTACCCATCACAGAGATGCACAGAGGAAGAGAACGAACTTCATATATCCCCTTTCTACTCAATCCAGAAACAAGATCGGACGTTATCCCGGTTCGTCTCCATTTTTGTGAAACTATTCCTCAAGCAAGGCAGCCGATAAGTCATCGAAGGGTTTGTGTGAATAATGGAATGGTTAACATTACTCATTTTAAACTCTCCCACGGTGATATAATATCTTTTCAAGAAAATGATGCGAGAACCCGCGGTGAAGAAATAAAGAGATCCTTCTATATCGAAATCTCAGTTGAGAAAATAATAGGAAAATTCCTGGATCACCCGTGGAGAAGAACCAAAACAGAATGGTTCCGCCTACTCAAAACTAAGAGGGGATGCCGCCTACTACTAAAATCCCGGTTTTTGCAACAGTTGCGTTCTTCTATGCAAGAAGAAGACTTAGAAAGAACAAAGAAGTTTGGATCCGAAAAAGTATGCTTAGGCAGTTCTTTCGCTGAGCACAACAGAATGAAGAGGAATTTTTATCATTTCAAATCCCTATTCTTATCGAAGAGAAGGAACGAGAAAAACCGAAATATTCCTACTCGAACAAGAAGTCCTATAGTTTACAACTCTTCTTTATATAGTAATTCGACCTATTGCTCCGCACCCCCCCATCAGTTTACTAAAAAGATCAAAATAAAAAGGATCGAACTACCTACTCATTATTCGGAGGTGAATCATAGAACACCAAAGGCTGTGGTATCTTATGGACCTAACATAGGTCACATACCTCACGACATAAGATTGAAAGATCCAAACCTTCTTCTTCGGAGCGGAAAGGGACGTGGCCAAAACATATAAAGATCGGCGTAGTCGCTCATAGGGACATATCTATCCGGATAGAGGATAGTCTAGGCCGATTCATAGATAGATCTCTCTCCATATAGATAGGTATCTCCGTGGATAGAGATAAAGATAGGGATCCATCTAGATCTTGATTCACTATTTCCATATTTTTTCTTTTTTCTGATTGATTGCCTTTTTTTTGACGACAAGTTTTCGTTTTCAATCTTAATGCAGGAGCGGAAAGCCACTTGACTGTAAGGAAAGGAAACATCGTTTTTCAATTATTACTTGCTGGGGCGGAGCGTAGACGAGCGAGCAGAGCCAAGGAAAGAGGGAAGCCCGTCATAGAGCAGTCGACTAGAAGTAGAAGACTGCTGGCCTGAGAGAAGGCGGCCTCTCTCGGGAAAGATGGCCCAATTTCTCTTCTTTCTTTTTGATTTCAGCTTTCTTTTTTTTTTTTTTTTCAGGGGTCCAGAAGGCTAAAAGGTGGGGGAGAAGGAAGCCGAACCTCTAATCGACCTGGACACATAAAGAATTCTCGGCGTCGAGAGAGATTTGAGATTCCGTAAGTAACTCAGTGAGTGCTTTCTAAGAAGGGCTTGGAAGAAGAAAATGAAATAGGAACAACCGCGCTGGTCGTAATAGATCGACTTTCATGCTAGTTCTTGCTCCAGCATGAAAGTTCCATTTCAGGGAAGGACGACGTACTATGATACTTTCCGTTTTGTCGAGCCCTGCTTTGGTCTCTGGTTTGATGGTTGTACGTGCTAAAAATCCGGTACATTCCGTTTTGTTTCTCATCCCAGTCTTTCGCAACACTTCAGGTTTACTTCTTTTGTTAGGTCTCGACTTCTTCGCTATGATCTTCCCAGTAGTTTATATAGGAGCTATAGCCGTTTCATTCCTATTCGTTGTTATGATGTTCCATATTCAAATAGCGGAGATTCACGAAGAAGTATTGCGCTATTTACCAGTGAGTGGTATTATTGGACTTATCTTTTGGTGGGAGATGTTCTTTATTTTAGATAATGAAAGCATTCCATTACTACCAACCCAAAGAAATACGACCTCTCTGAGATATACGGTTTATGCCGGAAAGGTACGAAGTTGGACTAATTTGGAAACATTGGGCAATTTACTTTATACCTACTATTTCGTCTGGTTTTTGGTTTCTAGTCTTATTTTATTAGTAGCCATGATTGGGGCTATAGTACTGACTATGCATAGGACTACTAAGGTGAAAAGACAGGATGTATTTCGACGAAATGCTCTGGATTCTAGGAGGACTATAATGAGGAGGACGACAGACCCGCTCACGACAATAAGGAGAAGCAGTGGTTCGAATCCACATCGTGAGCTTTAGTGCACAAGTCGTCGAATCCCTTAATTTGGGGCAGGAGTCTCGACGACAAGTCGTGCCTGCAGTTGTTCATGCACATCTTAAGAAGCTCCCATGCTTCAAGATTGAAGTTTTCACCAGAAATCTCTGTAAAAAAAAGAACGTTGTAACGAGATCGCATAGGTCCAACATAATCCTCCTAACAGGCAGCCAAAGATGGGCGAGGATCAATTAGTTAGCTAACGAAGTTGATGTTGAAGTAGAAAGAAGGCTAATAAATAGGAACGGAGTCGGGGAATTCTAACTCTTAACTTGCTCCTGCGACTTCCTTTTCATTTGGTAGGGCATGCCAACGAGATCTCATGAGAGCTTTTCAAAGAAATGATGTAAATGGATGTCCACAGACTCCTAGGCGGGGCTCTAAGGTGAATGGTATGGTTTGCTCACCCTAAGCTTCGTATGAGAGCGGAATAAAGACCAAGGAAATAGCGGTTTTCCTGTCATCACACGTAATTTCCCTCCTTTTTTTCCTCGCTCGAAAGCCCACGATAAAGGAAGTACAAATAGAATAGTGAGTTGAGTCTTTATTAGGGAGAGTTTTCACTCCAAAGAAGATTCATAAGAAAAAGAAGAGAAAGAGGAAGAATGCACGCAAAATCCTATCCTAATAGGGCTCGCCTCCCGTTGTTCTCTTCGGTTGTAAAGTGCTGCTCAAGCTGAGCTAACTACAGGTCCGAATGAACTGGGACACCAGACCATTCTTATCTTATGCTCTTATGCGGAAGCAAGCCCTTTGTTTCTATACGACTTTTCTTCACTTAGGGTGAGCAAACCATACTTTCAAGAGTCAACGAGTATAGAATCTATTGAATTACTCATCTGCGTATCAAGCTTCAAAGAATATCCTAAAAAAGAGAATACAATTGATAAGAAAGCGAGTAAGCCAACGGCGTCCCTTTATTTATGTTCGATTTTCTGTGAGCTAGTTGAAGTTGCTCTCCTTTTGCCTGCCTTCAATCGAGTTTGACTTTCTTCTGTCGTGCCAGGCGAGCGAGTGCAAGCGGCCTATGGAGAGTTAGGCCCTCTCATTTCTTCCCCCATATATTTTGTATATGATCTCCTAGAGAATACGTTGTGCTCCTAATTGAATTTACTATCTAAGTACAGCCAAGCTTGGTGCAAGTTGCACCAGTTAGAGTTGAATAGGAGGTTTGGATACAAGCGAAGACTTTCACTCGATAGGAGGTCTAATAGGCGAGGTACGAGGTAAGAGAAGAGTCAGAGTTTCCCTCCCTGATCTTTGAGTTGGAGCTTGTTTCAGTGCTTTTCGCTGCAAGTTTTGTTACACCCCTTTCTGCTACATCCCGCAGCATCAGTCCGGTCCTGTAATATGTTTTTCCTCCGAGGACTACTTTACCAGCAAGTGTGAGTTCATCGTCTCTTTGGTTAGTCCCGCGAAGTAGAGATGGATAAAGCAGGGACAACTCAGTTCGCTTTGTTCATTTTTGAGGGCTTTTCCTTCGTTTCGGTTGGGCCCAGAAGTTTACTTGTCCAATCTAAGCTAAGGCCCGTGAGACTAATCAGTCAAGTCAACCATACCTAAGGATCGGTGAAAGAACCCCAACAAGGTTAACTTCGAGTTACGATTTAGCTGCTGATGTCATCCTTCTTCTATAGAAAATAGTGGCATATCAGCTGTCTCACTAGTAGCGCATATAAGCTACTATAGACTGAAAGCTGTCACTGGATTTAGAGTTAAGCAGTTACTATAGTGTATGAGAACTCTTTACTATCTCTGGAATCTAGCTATGCTCTTACATCTTACAGGCACTGGGAATTCCTGACTTCCAGTCCTAACTCTTAGTCGCGCATCCGCTGTGAATGGAAGAAGTTTATGTGGCATATAAGCTCTTCCTTTCGGTTCAGCCTTAGTAGCGTTCACTGTGCGTTAGCCCGATATTTTGCCTTAGGTTGTATGTCTCACTGCTAGATTAGGTTAGGAATGGAAGAAGTAGTCCCTTTTCCCTGAAACTCACTGGCTTGATTCCCAGGCTTTAGCCAAAGACACATCCCGCTTTTGGCTTGGCTCCAGAACACCAGTGACTCAAGCAGCGGATTACAGTTCTTCCTTTAAGAAAGAAAGTTTACTTGCTCGTTTAGGTAGTTAGTTCGCTTCCGCATCGGCGAGAGAGAGAATTCCTATTTGATATAGCTATTTGTGCAAGTATTTTACGGTTAAGAAGCAACTCTCTCTTGTACAGATCGTGTATTAATCTACTATAACTATAGGGTAATACTTCCCTTCTATTATAACTATAGGATACTCCCCTTTCGCGAATTACTGCGTTTATCCGAGTGATCCACAAACGATGAAAATCTCTCTTTTTCCTATCCCTATCCCATTCACCGGTACTGATCGTTGATACTGTAAAAGTAGTTTTCTTGCTTTTTTGTGCCAGCTCATGATCTAAACGAGTCGCACATACACCCTAGTACATGTTCCTCGACGCTGAGGGCACCCCCGAAGAGCGGGGGATTTCGTGACATTTCTGATTGGCTGTCTTGTATTTCTAATAAGTTGTTTAATAGTTGGCATGTTGAATCGTATACATAATATGATGGGTTGGTTTAGATTGATCCTAACCGAATGATGATGAATTACTTCTATTTAATAGAATATTCAATTCGAAGAGAAAATCTCAAATCTCTCTCGACACGGAGAACCTCTCTTTTTAATACGCTATTTCAAGTGAGAATTCCAGTTCCGCTTGTTCCCGGCTATTGCATCTTCCCTGCCACACTGCTTCAACAACAGCTTCTTAGCGACCTACTGCCCTACCACCAAGACCGGCAAGAGCACCGGATGATTGAACACTATCCCAATCTCTAGAAAGAGTACCAGCGCTGACTCTTGCACCGCTGGAGCAACTTCTTCTCTCATCCTTCCTAAATGTTGCTCTTATACTTACTTAAGAACAAAAAGAATAGCTAGGTTTCCTTTTTCCCGAGGGGCACTGGCACTCTAATCTAAGACCTATACCTATCTTCGCTATCGCTCATGACTTCCGTCTTGTACGATATCGGTCATTGGAATCAAAGAAAAAGAACTTCAGAGTGGTCACTTCCCTCTTCTTATTACTTCAGACAATGCTTCCGGAGCTAGACGGAAACAGCCTTCTACCTTCAAATCTTTTCAAAAGCATTCGCTACCGGTGGTCAGAATTTTTTCCCATTCACATCTTTCTAAAAAAAAACTTCTACCTCGAGCACACGCAATGGAGCCCTGGGTTACCGAAAGCGATCAATCTTTCTTCTGGTGGGAGGGAGTCTTGTAAAGGGGGAGCCACTTGACTGTAGCCGTAGCGAAAGCGAAATCAAAAAATAAGAACTTTCTTGACCGGTCATGTGCGTCACCTGGGCCAAGACAAGAATGTCTATTCGTTTTTACCTTACGAACGAAGGCGACCATGGGGACCGGTTCCTTCTTTCTTTATGTTATGTCGGTTGCGGTGGAGGGCACTTAACCAGAGTTCTTGCGGGCAGGCTTCCTTCTAGGACAGGCTTTCTTACCAAAAAGATTTCCTTAGAATAAGGGATTTCCCCCGTTACGGAAGGAAAGACTCCGTTGATTGCTCCGATGATCGTGACCTTCGAACCCCGGTGCCGGTGGAACATC